GCCATATTTTGGTATGCCTGAAAATCAATTTCTGTATGCTATACAGCCACATATCAAAATATGACAGTATTGCATTTACTTAAAAAATTGTAAAAGGCCATAATAAGTCTGACGTTTTGGGTTCAAGGGAGTATTTTATTATATTTGAAAAAGTCACAATATAAAGTATGTTTAAAGTACCTATTGTAGTTTTTAGTTTCAAATGTATAGGTGGAGAACTCTTTGCAAACATCACCATTGTAAAAGTGTACGAACGTGTACCTCAATTCTTYTATAATATTAAGCCGYAAAARAATYGGTATTWAAACAAACTTACCTTAAATATCAATTATTTTGGGATTTGTTATAGTCCGCGACGTGCATGCACTCCGACGCTGAAATGGAAACGCATCAGATACTGCTGAATTGAAGTCTAAAAATAATGTGATTTATGAAAAAAAAAGATTAAACGGAAAACAGTATGTTTTTCGTTCATGTCTACTTTGCTATCTAATTGAAATGTTAGAATCTTTAATCGACTGCGTCTTCCGCGACGACTTTGACAATCGCCATAGATTATATTATTGTACAACTTTTATATCAAAGATGTCCGTGTATACAATTTGTTCACGGAAATAATGAAATGTGATAACTATACCGAAATAATGTATAACTTTAAATAACAATTATGTTTAACAATATACTTATTAAGTAGGTAGGTACCTCGGAATTATTTTAATTATTTGATTATCGATAAAGATGGTGTTTAAATATTAGAACCACATGCATAATGTTTACTAAAATATATTTTTTTATGGACTATTACATAAAAATGTTAATTAAAATAAATGTGATTACTGTTTTTTTCGATATGTCAGTCGTCGATAATAATAGTTATAAGTAAATAAGTAAATAACATTAAAACAATAAGTGGTGATCGCGTGCCAAACTGAACCATACAAACTAGTCCACAAGTTCATAAATAGTAGAAAATAGAAATGTACAATATTTCATGAATATTCCTAAAATAATTTGTTTACCTACTTTAAGCATAATATTATTTATTTTTTTTTTTGGTGGGAGAAGAACGTTATCAGAATACTTTCTGTTTATAATAAAATGTACGAGTGAAATATAAATATTAAATAATAAATGTCGAATTTTCTGTGGCACAAGGGTTTACTATTTATGATAGGTACCTACTCATTACAAACATTTTTCTACGAGTGGGCGGCGGCGTAAAAATAATGAGAAAAAAGAACTTGACAACTGCAACCGAACACTGACTAAGTTGCTTCGTGCATTTTATGCATTGCGTACCTCGGTATTCAAGAAGCTCGTCCGTTTCGAAATATTTATAATAATATATTAGAATTAGACCATTCTTAACAAAAGAATATTAAAAAAAACTTACAAAAATATTGATCCTTCTATTCCTTCTAGTGAAACTTCTGTTATTGTGTGGTTACTAACTCTAAACCATCATCTTCGCCGCTCTGAAATGGATGTTGGTAAATGAAATTAGTAATTAATAATTATTCATTTACCAGAACGGAATAATATATTAAATTGACTGCTGTAGTGCCACAGATTTGGATTTTTATAGCTTATAGGTATACCTATTATTATATTATAGGTAAGTAATTATAAATATTTATAAAGTCTTAGAGTTTCTATAAATCAATCGCATTCACCGATGACATAGTTATACCATGGTATCTAATATTTTGTCATATTTTCAGAAATTTAAAATTTTCAACGGCATTATAAGTTCTAATTGACATACTCGTACTAAGTACTAACTAATCTCGTAGGGTCTTACAACTGCAGTTATGGGTGTCAGTGTACTGCAACAGAGTAAAAAAAAATATTATATTATAATATTTTACTAAATATATGGTTTTTGTATAATAAATTATTTAGTTTTTATTTTCTATACCTAATAAGTTACCTAGTAATTAAATAATTTATTTTTATTTTCAAATAAATTAATATATTAATATTTTATGAACCAGACTTTCTTGGACTCATTCCATGRAGAAATGACGCTGGCCGTCGTGGTGTAAAACGCACATAATGATATTGTGATTAGATAAAATATAAATAATTATATTACGATCGAACTTGGACACTTGGTTAACTCAAAGTTGAAGCACATTGTGTTGTGTGTACAACTGTGTAAGTAACTATGTACTATCATATATCATAAATTGTCAAAACAATCATACAATGTATATTTAATCAACATTCAACGGTAATAGGAAGTAATTATAAACAAATATTTTATATTACATATCTACTTACCGAATTATAATAAATTATTAATCTCGTATCCATTTACAATGTTTTTAATTATTTGATAGACTATTATCCTTATTTCTTAGTATTTCAAGTAGAATAATGTAATAATTTAATATTAATAAAAATAATATAATATGCATAATTCAAGCATAAAAATGCAGTGAACATGTTTAAAAAATCGCCCTAATATATCATTAATAATGTATTTCTTATAAAATAAAATTGATTTATAGCAAAATTACCAATATAATCAAATATGAACAACAATTTTTTTATTTTATTATAATTAACCTAATCTAAACTAATCTATCTATTTTCTCTGGTATACATGTAGCCAGGGGGCAGGAGCGGACTAGCCTGTCGGCCGTTATAAATTTTGCCCTGCATTATTTATAAAAATAAAATATAAAACCAGACAAAAATGTATATTAAATAATAATATTAATTATATGACGAATTCTAATTACACAAACACAATGTTTCTGCCGACTGCCGAAAATGAATTTACATTAATTTATTTTTGTTATCGGCTTATTCTATTTTTGTATCGTTCCGATTAAATCACCATACGGGCACAGATTATTTAAATCGGTTCACATCCCGCTATTCGCGATACGTAATCTCAATAAACCCATGCCCTTATTAGTCTATTTAAATGATCTCAATAATTATTGTTACGATAATTTCGTAGGGAGCGCGTATAGTAGCCGAAAATATATCAGCCAAACCGTATTTTAGCCGAAAAATATTAAATAAAATTTACCTATACAGTGTAATATGGTCGCCTCGCCTGTCTTTCATCAGGAGTACAGGACGAAAATTCAAAATATGTAGAAAATTAGAAATGTTGTAATATAGCACTTTATTCCCACCCAACCTGCCAACCTTCAATTTACGGTGACGATCGACGACTTCCGAAGWAATTGATAGCATYGTTAAAATTACGTGTACTATTTTCGTACTACATCAGTACAACTATATCTATTCGTATAATTTATATTATCAATAGGTATATAATATAAACGATTCCGACAAAATAGTTGTGAGCATGTGACATATGTTCTACATTCAATAAAATATTATTATTGTTTAATATATAGTATGGGATAAACTATAAGAGAGTCGAAAGCTTAAAATAGTTTTATGTTCTTTATACATAATAATTGACATTGGTACCTATCGGTCGTTATGAGAATGTATTAGTCAGTGGCAGTGTGGCACGATCACCCACCAGTAGGTAGCATTAAAATATCACTGGGGGGGAGGGGCACTAGAGCCCCGTACTTTGTATGTTAAAATATGCTATGGTTGGGATCATTGTATACGAAAAACGATTCTGAGCGAAGGCGGTTTATCTGTCTAGAATATATTATAGATTATTAAAAATTTTCAAATCTTAGATTTAAAAAGAAAATTTTTTATGAATTTCTAGTTTAAAATAATTTGCGAAWTTTCATGATTTTTACGTATGTTGTCAAAATTCAAACTTTGAATGCTTGTAAAAAAAAATTGTGA